TGAGGGTGCTGAGGTTCTGTTGTGCTTTCTTCGAGATTTTATTTGAAATGGGTATACATGTGAAGAGGATCTTGGAGTTTGGGAAGGTTTTGTTGGCTGTGGCGATTAATTTCTGGGCTTGGTTAAAGGAGGTCTTTGGTATCTGATCACGGTTGTTGAGGCCTACATGAAGAATAATGGTAGTAGGTTTGGGATCATGGTCGTATGATTCCAGGATTGACTGTATGTGATGGATTTGGGCACCGGGGTAAGAATGTATTTCGGTGTCTGAACTGGTTTTGGTAATTCGATTCAGGTTAGATGATCCAATTATTAAGGTTGATTTCTTTAGAGCAGGTAGTTTCCATAATGATTTGTCCTTGGTTTGGTGGTAATACGGTTTGGTAGCGGATATAATGGTCGTCGACGGTGTGATTGGTACTGGTTTGGTAGTTGTTAGAATTGTAGCATTGGGAACGGACTGGGATCTGGTTCGAGGAGGGGAAGGTCTGGATACATGTCTCGACTTGGAGGGGTGGTTTGCTGGTCCAAAAACGCACAGAAGGAAGAAAGGTTGGCGGATCCTGGATCACGTGGTGAAGATTCAGATGGTGTGGAAGGGGAAGACGAGTCTGAAAGTGAAAAGAGAAGGGGTGTGCCCTCTCTACGAGAGCGTTTACCTATGTCTGCTGGACTAGGGGTAGGTGAACTTCGGGCTCGTTTAGGGGTTTGGTTCGGCAGCGTGGTAGCTCTAGATGGTGCAGGTGTAGTGTCCATTTCAGTTGGTAGAGATATGGTTACTCTGGTTTTTGTTTCGTTGATTGTTTGGTAGAATTTGGAAATTACAGCTTGAGTGAGACGTTTCCCATAGGAGCGACGGGCCCAGGACAGGGCATGAGAAACGATGCGGTCGACGGCAGGTGATGATAAAGACTTGGTACGAATGGTGGTCAGCTTCTCTTGAAGTGTGGTTTGGTAATGGTCGATCAGGACCTGCGTAAACTTACAGAGCCATGTCCGATTGAGGGATCTAATATTCGCGTCGACAGCTGATGTTTTCATTGTTGGACGGATAAAACTATCCAACTCAGAGACTTTGCGTTTGAAGGTAAACGCTGGTTGGCCTTGCTGTTGAAGGGTAAGGATTGCCAAATGATGGAGGCACTGCAAAACTTGGAAGAACACCTTCACAAAGGGTTCTTCCTCCTTATGAGTGGGGACTGGTTGGCGTCGGTGGGCTGGTAGTCGTTTCTGTTGTTGGTCAGGTCGATGGTTACCTCTTGATTGGTAGGCTGTGTTGTAGGTAGGTCGGCGATGGGGTGGGATATAGCTGGATGGGTTGGTTGGTGGTCGGCGATTGGTAGGTGGTAGAGGTCGATGGAAGACAGGGCCGTTGTAGGATACGTGATATTGGTTTGGTTGACGATTAGTGTTTCTATTTCTGGCTTCTTGCCAGTGGTTGTTGTAGTTGGGGAGCATAATAACTTGGGGTTAGAAGGGAATGTACAGCGGATGTAACAGGAGGAAACTGTATATGCTAGCGTGAAAATGTTGGGATCAAATTATGCAAATAAGTCAAACTGGGTTTGGGGATATATAAAGCAAGATGAAAAATGCAAAAAAATATATATTTAGGTGATAAATAACGCTAACAATGATGTGAAAAATTATAACAAGTAAAACAAAAACTTACGCAATTGACACGAACCGGTTTTCGAAATATTGTCCTTTTTCAAGTGTCGAGGAATGGTTATGAAATGACATTGAATTTGCGATTTATATAGTAGTCAGTTAATACAGGTTTTTGATTTCTAAAAATTAT